TCATTCAGCCTTAACTGTATTTAGGTTGCGTGTGGGAACACTATTGACATGATTTATATTATAGCACTTGTGCAATGAGTATCTATATGTTTTGTAAACGCTTTTTTTATTTCGTAACAATACAATATTCATATTTTTACTCAACATCTTAGTAATATTGTGTTCATGGAGTTGTTCCTATATAAACTATTTAATAGATTTTTACCAAACAGTTACTAAATGTTTGAATTTTATGGATTTATAATTTGATGTGTTACACTAGTATTAAAGAACAAAACGCCCTCGTATTATTTTTTTTGAACACAAGTCTCCGTTCATTGACTGTCAGAGAAAGTTGTTAATTAAGAGCGGGTGATTGCTTCGATTGTATAACTTAATACATCGTAGGCTTACACCGTCATTGATGACGTAATTACCTTTCAACAACACCAAAGAGGTTCTATATGTATGTAATAATATTCTTACAACTCTTTGTGTCAGATTTGAATGGATTTAATTGATTAAAACCTCTTTAGAGTTTGGCAGTATAAATTATATTTAAAAAAAAAATATAATGCAATCCTTTGACAGATTAAAAAAAATGTAGGTCAGAAATCATTGATCTAGTAAATTTAATTGTCTTAAACATTTATAATGTATCAATATTAACCTAATTAGTAATTAATAGAATCGTTTTTAAATATACAAAACCTATAAACACAAATACATATACATAAAAATATACACAATAAATACATATTTATGTATACATTTATTCGCCTTATTCCCGGAAGTACGTCATAGATTTATATTGCAATCTCCATCTTAGCAATAACAAGTTATCAGATAAAAATAATAGAATTTCCTCATAATGGCGTCCTGTAAACATTTATTTAAGTAACAGTATACAACTAGTATCTCAGATGCTGTTTTTCATTGCGTGTCTCTGAATATATTATTCCTAGTAGGGGAAAGTGGGGGAAACGCGAACACCTAAGGGAAAACATAAATAAAACAGTGGAATCAAATCACAGAGTTTCTTTAATTATTGAATTATAAACTTTACTTATCTAGTTAGCGTATTACTAATCAACATTATTTTTTTTTATATAAAATAAAACAAAATGACCAAAAAAACAAAACCCTTTGTGTTCGGTTTTACCCAACTGATGTCGGGTAAAGCCGAACACAAAGTGGGGTAATCACGTACTAACATTACTAACGACATCTATCACATTTGTAACCCGCCGATGTTGACTGTCCGTCAGTGCAATTCTCGTCAGCCCATTTCTCACACATGTAACACATTATCCAGTCTTCACCAGGGGGCTTTTCCGGCTAGCTGTTTCACACGGTCGAATTTGTGAGGCAGACGGTTCTTCTCTGCATATTGATACGCAATCTGACGAATTTTTTTATGGTTAGACCATAATAAAGTTTACTGCACTTTATGATATAGTCGACCAATTCCTTTTCTTGCTGGTCTGTGAAGAGCGGTCTTCGTCCAGTCCTTGGTAATTTTAAAGATGCCTTCTTTAAATAATCATAAATTGTAGTTTTTTGAATACTATAAGTATTTGCTGCTCTGCCAATGCTGAGTTTATTAGTTTGAACTTCGAACAAGTTTGAAGTTCGACTATAGCCCTTTTGAGATACTCTAAGCTGTATTTAGTTTCGGTTTTTCTTTTATAATTACGAGACATCTGAAACAATTTATTTGATGTTTAGCATCATCAAAATCACCCGACAACATAATTTAGTGCCACAAAGAAATCAACATAGACTGGAAAACACTATACCCTATTTGCCAGTGGGTAGTTGGAAAAAAAATATTAACAGGGAACTAACCAAAAAGGAGAGAGGGGTAATGCCGAACGTTCGAAATTACCCGACATGAAGCGTTCGCCTTTACCCCACCGGGTCGAAAAAAATAAAAAGGCAAAAATATTGTAGGTTATATAACTTTTACCAAATGCGTCACTGTCATTTGAATGGTTAGTATGTTAATTTTCCACTATGTAAAGGTTAAATAACTATTCTCAATAGAACTGAAGCCACACCAAGTTCAATTTATCAAAAAATTACATCGAAAACATTGAAAATATTAAAATTGACATACCTTGAAAAGTACGTGCGTCTGCGTCTCCCGTGTCGTTGACTGGCACTGGTGGTGGCGTGATCTCTGAGTTACCGGCGAGTGATATACGGCTATATCTTTCTAACACATTAAAACTATTGGGTTCGGGATTACCCCGCGTTCGCGTTTACCCCCTTTTCCCCTAATAATATTTAATGTATGAATAAGGAAGTTCGCAAACTTAAACAATATTATTTAAAATTGACTTGGCTTGAAAGAAAATGTAAATATTAAAGCAGAAATTTAAAAAGATATAACTGCTTTTTTATATTTATGATACTTAAATATATGAAAGAGATCTTTATAATAGTATTTTATGAATGTAAATACCGTTTTTCTTTATATATAATTATGATTTGTATATAAATATAATACCAAGAAAGATAGAATAAGACATTAGAATAAATATATGTTGGTTGCAACATGTTGATGGCTTATCTTCCTTCCTCATAATTATCTGTTATCCTGTACGCAATGATTATTTAAAACTAGCTTTCCGCCCGCAGCTTCGCCCGCGTGGAGTTCGGTTATATCGCGTTTCCAAAAGAACCTTTCAAAAGTCTGGGATAAAAACTATCCTGTTCTTTCTCAAGGTCAACTCCATCTCTGTACCAAATTTCATAAAAATCAGTTCAGTGGTTTAGGCTGAAAGCGTAACGACAGACAGACAGAGTAACTTTCGCATTTATAATATTAGTAGGGATACAACAATAATAAGATAGAAAAATTATTCTTGAATACATTAAAGACAATAAAACCATCGGAAGGCCAAGAAGTAAATAATAAATAAGTTTTACACGAATGCAACCAACTAACTTGTAAATTCGATAATCGTTTAATGATTGTAGTGGGTAGCGAATAATTGTTTGAAAATACCGAATAATGAAAAGGATAATAGGCGGATAATATTTGAATTATGACTATTGAGAAAAGACATCATAAAATACAAGCATCCCTACTTATATTATTTGCAAAAGTATCTCTGTCTGTCTGTTTGTTATGCTTTCACGCCTAAACTACAAAACTGACTTTAATGAAATTTGGTACAGATATGGAGTTGACCTTGAGAAAGAACATAGGATAGTTTTTATCCCAGACTTTTGAAAGGTTCTCTTGGAAACACGATATAACCGAACTCCACGCGGGCGGAAAGTTAGTATTAAAATAATGCAAATTAAGTTTAAAGGAGAATAAATATTATGTAAGTAGATAATAGTATACTATTGTTGTGTTTTAACTATTAATTGACCACCTCCGTACTAGACAAGGTCCAATGCTAATTGGTCGATGAATAAAACAAGTACGGTTCATTCTACAAGCATTGCTTAGTAATTATGATGATAGAGGACTATTTATACTAAATATACACGCCGCCATACGTAGATACCGCTAAGAATTAATTAGTCATATAAATTCCATCGAGATATGTTTATATTATATATGTAAAGATATACATGTGTTGTATTTTATCAATATTGTTATTATATATTGATTCTTCTTCTTCTTCTACTTGGCAATTTCTGCCTTACATGTTGTGAATAGTTTTGGCTATTTGTTTTTACGACCGTCAGTCTGCCTGACATCAACCCTTTTGGGGAATCAGCATTAATCAGTGATGTCTAAATACTCTTAGAAAGTACATATGACTGCGAAAAATCACATTGGTACTTGCCCGGGCCAGGATCGAAACCGTGCCCTCGTGCATGAGAAGCAGACCTTTTAACCACTAGGCCACCACTGACTCTTGATTGTTATTAGTTTATTACGCATTGATATTATCGTATTAATACTATATATACGATTTAGTTGATAGAATAAAATGAACTCAAAAAACTTTCTAGTATTTATTACAAGTAATGTCATGACTTAAAAAAAATATTTGTTGTTACTTACAAATATATATGCAGAAGAAGTTGTAATAAACAATTCTTATATTAAAAATAACGTTTGAATAGAATGGTCTGTTTGTTCTCGAAACCGATGTAATTTTCCTTAAGACAAAAACGTATCGCCATAGATGTTCATTCGGCATACAAATCAGCAATTAACTCATCTAATAGCGACCAAAGAATTTCTTATAAAGAATTTTTCAAGCAAAAAATCAGCCGCTAAGAGTGGAAAGCGTAAAATATATGATGTATGGATTCTATCGAGGTATTTAACAATCTTGATTGACGCGAGTCACCAGATCAATCACGCTGTTTGATAATATATTATATTAAAGTAAAATAAAGTATTATATTTCTATATATAGCGTTTAGTTGATATATTTATAAAGTACGTATATAGTGAATAGTTATTTACGATCAATAGAAATCATGACTTCTACTCGTAACAATGTTTCCACAGTCCATGACTATCGCTCTCAAATTATAACAAGAGGACAATATGTAACCCAAGATATTTGCATATAAATTAAACGGATATTGTTTTTATTACACCATTGTTCTCACTTTTGATATGTTTAATATCAAGCAATTTAAAACTCAATTATGCATAACTTAGAGTTGGTTTTAATGTGTTGAGATGAAAGTAATTTAGGGAATGATTGATAGATTAATGGGACGTGTAATGATAGGCTTTCTGTTTAATATTAGATCTGTTTTATTATAAAAAAAGCTATCATCATCTTATAATTAAGTTCAATAGAAAATAAAGTACTCCACTTAATTTTTTTTTACTATAACATTGTTCTTAAGTACTTTTAAACTAGCACTTAAATGACGTAAAAATTTTCATTAAAAAAAATAAATATTTTTAAGGCAACAACATTATCACCTTACTGATAACACAGCGACAATTAAATCTTATTTTCTATACTCATTAAAGAATTGAAATGATTATAGTACTGTTTGTTATCATTCGTTATCACTATACTGTTATCTCACATTCTGAATATACCAAACTTACTGTCTCTAAATGGTGCGTTTAATGCCGCTGATATACTTAAACCGACTACTCTCCTGGTATCCTTCGGAGCCAAGATCCCATCATCCCATAACCTAGCTGTACTGTAATATGGGCGGCCTTCAAGATCAAACTTCGCTTCCAATGGTTCTTTAACTTTCTTTTCATCTTCTTCTGTCCACGGCTTCTTTTCTCTATTTGCCTTTTCTTTTGCAACCAATGAAAGCACTGTAGCTGCTTGTGGACCACCCATCACTGATATCCTGGCATTCGGCCACATGTAAAGGAAACTTGGTGAATATGCTCTGCCACACATACCATAGTTACCAGCACCGAAACTGCCACCAACTAGTACTGTGATTTTGGGCCCCTTAAAGCAACTCACAGCAGTCACCAATTTGGCACCGTTTTTAGCGATACCTCCAGCCTCCGCTTCTGGCCCTACCATGAAACCGGTGACGTTTTGAAGAAACAGTAAGGGTACTTTTCGCGCGGCACATAGTTGTATAAAATGAGCTCCTTTTAAGGCAGCTTCCGAATGTATTACGCCGTTATTGCCTAAAACTCCGACGGGATGACCATAAACAGATGCAAACCCACATACTAAAGTCTCACCATAAAGTTGTTTGAATTCATGGAACCTGCTTCCATCAACTATTCTAGCAATAACTTCTCGGATGTCATAAGGTCTTTGCAGATTCGCTCCAACTATTCCGTGTAAGTCATCGATATCATGTAATGGTTCATCTACATCTGATGAATTAACTCGAATTCTTTGATCATTATGCCAATTTAGATTAGCAACCACATTTCTAGCCAATTGCAGAGCGTGCTCGTCATCTAATGCGTAATGATCTGTGACACCTGATTTGCGACAATGTAGGTCAGCTCCACCTAAATCTTCCGCTGTCACGGTTTCTCCAGTGGCTGCTTTAACAAGCGGTGGACCAGCTAAGAAAATTGTTCCCTGCTTTTTAACAATGATACTTTCGTCAGACATACTAGGGATATAAGCGCCACCGGCTGTGCAAGATCCCATCACCACTGATATTTGAGGGATACCTTCAGCAGACAAGTTAGCCTGATTATAAAATACTCTACCGAAATGTTCTTTGTCAGGGAAAACATCCGCTTGATCAGGCAAGTGGGCGCCACCAGAGTCAACGAGATAGATGCAGGGAAGTCGGCATTCCTTTGCAATTTCTTGTGCCCTTAAATGCTTTTTAATGGTCATAGGAAAGTAAGTGCCTCCTTTAACAGTAGCATCGCTCGCAACAATCATACAATCCCGACCTTGAACTTGGCCGATAGCTGTAACTATGCCGGCGCCCGGGACCTGACCTTTGTACATGTCCGTAGCGGCCAGAGTACTTAATTCTAAAACGTCACTTCCATCGTCCACTAACCGGTTAATCCTGTCTCTTACAAGCAATTTTCCTCTAGCAATATGTCTCTTGACTGCTTCCTCTGGACCGCCTTTGATAACGTCATTTGTTTTCTGTCGGAGTTCCTCCACGAGCTCGTCCATTTTCGCCTTATTCTCAAGGTAATAAGGATCATTTCTATTCGGCTCACTTCCTATCACGTTGGCGTAACTGTAATGCCGGCCTAGGACATTTAATCGCCGTACGCCTTTAAGTAACTTGAGCATTTTCACTTTATATATTAATCATAAACACGACTGTACGCTTTGTGTGTTCGCCCGCACTGACGATAACAAATTCTTTTATCAAGGTGATTGAATAATTTCGTTGTTTTGACCCCCGTTGATAAAAACTTTATAAATTATTACGAAAATGACATCGTTTTAACATTGGTTGATGTAATGTTTACACTCACAATCGTATTTATCTACAATCGTCACTCGAGTCGCGTAGTCACAGCGTAATTGAAGAGACAATGACATAACTGAATATATTATGTTTATTGCTTTTCTGAATAATAATACCATAATGACATTATCATATCATACAACAATATTTAAAATCGTTGTTACTTAAAATTTAACTAATGTTTTTCTTGCAATATCATTACAGAATTTTAGATATAAATCCACGACTAAACAATGAGGGGCAATGACCATTTAAGTTTCTATAACCTGTCACTAGATGGCGGAATATTTAAAATTTATAATACGAATTCAAATATTTTATGACAAAAATCTTGTTTTAAATATAATTATAAGTTATGAATTGTGGACTTGATTTTAATTATGCAGATTTTAGCCTATCATAGATATCGTTTGTATCATATCATACATATGGTTTTAGACAGTTATCATATTCAAATGTTCTAAAACGTTTAATTAACAGGAATTCTAAACACAAAAAAATACAAGTCTTTTACAAAATATGATGCTGTACCAACTTTTCATATTTTCTCAATTATTAAAAAAATGACGTTATATTGTTATTTTTTTATTTGTTTTATTTATTTTGATGTTGGCATTAAGTTTTCCTTATTTTCTTATACATCGGGATTCCTAATTAGTTACATTATGTATTTAACTCTATTTACATATAAGCAATAATGACTACGATGTTAATGACATCTACACAATATTACAATAAATTTATTAATGACTTAGGAAATTATAGGAAAGCTTTATTCAGCAGCTATTAGTATTACCTTAAAACTAATATTCATTATCTAATCTTTCACGTATAATATATTAATAGTTGATTTAAAATATAATCAAGTTAACCAATTTATTAATGTTTTAATTAAATTACAACCAATTATTTACGAAAGTTTTTATAAGAATTGATTATATTTATTTCTTTTTCTACAAATAAAAATCTATATTTATATAACAGAAACTGTTTATTTAATACGTTACGAATAATACAATGCTCTTGTCACAACTTCGCTTGTATGTTTATGATAATGACTGTTGTCAGTTGTTGTAACGATGTTGAGATTTCACACTCCGTATATGTAATCGGAAAATAAGCTTTGGTCACGGAAGTCATGTTAATATATCATTACAGCAGCATATATTTCATGGGTTGAAACAAAATGCCTCTTTCACAATGCCCACTTGCCTGGCGTTGCGTATTCCAAAACAATGCCACGTTTTGGTGTCGCCAAAATGTTCAGCATTACAATAATAATATGTATGTCGTTTTATAAAAACCTTTTTATATAAATTATCAATGAAACTTTTGTAGTCAAAAGTTGGTTCATACCTAAATTAGGATTAGTTGTTAATGAATGCTTTTTTTTTCGTTCTTTTGGCGATTAAGTCACTGCACTAATTGCAATTCTTTCAAGTCAAATTTTTTCAAAAACAAATGACAGACGTGAGTAATTAGTGATATTATTTATTAATAAGAAATATTTTTTTGTTCAAGGATCGTGACGAACAAACAAAACTGGAAATGAAACACAGGCAGGAAGAAGACGACTTGTATAGAAAGTTTTCAAAACACAGAGAGGAAGAAAATCGGAGAATACGAGAAGAAATACAGGTTTGTAATACATATGAATATTATCAATAAATAAAATTACAATAACTATAAAGAAAACATCGCGAGGAAACCTGGACTTAGAATTTCAAAGTATAAGTTTGAAATAACTAACGCGTCTTGAGCAAGCGTGGTGATTAATGCTCAAACCTTCTCCATGTGAAAAGAGGCGTTTGCTCAGCTGTGGGCTTTGATAGGCCGATGATAATGATGAACTATTGAAATATTATATCAATTTAAATGTTTTTTTCTAGGATGAGTGGGAGAGAGAGTTAGAAAGATTAACAAACCGCTTCCAACAAGAGATGCAAGTGAAGAAACGAAGACCAGAATCTGAGATAGGAGCATTGACTCTACGACACCAACAGGAGAGAGCTGACCTGGAGAAGAATATGACTCTACGGAGAGATAAGAAGAAGGAGAGCTTGACTAGGAAGATGTTGGAGCACGAGAGGTAATTGTGATAATATTATTTATACCAATCCTAGATTAATGTATTGCTCATGTAAAAAAATATTTGTTTCAAAGGAATGTACGAGTATATATCTCTCTGATGTACGTGAGCTTACTTCTGAAACGAATTATAATGTCAATAGTTTTAGAGTGAATTTTTAATTTTAATATCCATTAAAATGACACCTACCTTCCTAAACTACATATATTTTGTTGACGTTACCTCAATTTCTGTACAAGAAATCTTATTCCTATTTAAGAATATTTACGATTATAATTTCTCGTATGGCGGTTAAAAAAAAATTATGAATATGCCAGTCATTTATCAGTCGAAAAGACAAGTGACAATGCAAGTTTTATCGGCGCAGTTCAAACAAAGGGGAAACAACTTTCATTAGCAGCCGGATGTATGGTGCGTGCGAATATTGTTCCAACACTGTTTGATTATGTAGATTATATATTTGACGACTTATCTTCTATTCCGTTGTTTGAATTATACCAAACAATTGCTTTATAATTAATTTGAAAGTGAAGTTAATTATTCATTTATGATATTTTCAATTAAAAACGAGTGCATAATGAATTTGTAAATTCCGAAAGATAAGTTTCAGTCGCTTTTCAAATGAAGATATCTTGTATGAGTGAGGTCTAAAGTCTACTAAACTTTATTAACTCAATTAATTTGATTTATACTCGTCCTCTCACACATAGCAATAAAACGTTGATACGTTATTACCTATGAATGAGAATGAAATCATTTCCATTATAAAATGCGTATATTGTTACCATTCGACTGTTTATCTTAATTGAAATACTTAGATGCATGGACTAACCAATCGAGAACGATATTTTACGAACTAAAATTGCAACTTTAGGGCTGCCAAAAATTTATTTTAAATGTATTTTATCTATTTCAGGGCTGCTACAGCGGCACTGGTTGAGAAGCAGAGTCACGAGATGATGGAACTTATTCAGGAGCGTAGATCTGAATACATGGCAGCATCCTCTATATTCCTGGACGGAGAAGAAGCACCCCCTTACCCCTCCCGTGCTCCGCCCCCCGTGCCGCCGCTTGTATCCAAATTCCACATATACACAGATCCTGCGGAATTCGCGGATGTTGATAAAATTGCTATTTCAGTAAGTTCTAAGTACATTAACATGAGAATTCTGATAGTAATTATTAGGTGTAATAATGGTTTCTTTTAATGCCATTAAAACTTTGTTATCTTTATATTTGTTCATTTATCTAAGCAATACGGATAAGTTATTCTTTAAAATTACAAACCAAATTCATCGATATATTTATCCACAGGTAGCGCAAGAGGACCAAAAGACTTTTACCGATTTGGTCCGACAACTAGTGGGTAGATGTGCGAGTGACGTCGAGAAAGCGAGGACCATTTTCCGCTGGATAACCGTAAAGAACCTAAACAACATACAGTTTGACGAGAACCTGCGAGGGGATTCCCCGCTGGGATTACTTAGAGGCATCAAGCACGGCACTGAAAGTTATCACGTGCTGTTTAAGAGATTGTGCAGGTAACTATGAGATAACTACACTATATATTATAGAGAAATGCCACTAACTAAAGAAGAAGAAGTTTACTATATATGAAAGAAACAGAGACTTGAGCAAAAACATATAATACCTTTAAAAAGACAAATAAACGGTCAAGCAAGATTAAAATTGTATTGTATCAATATTACCAAGGAAATAATCCGATTTCTACAAGTTGTTGCAGTTCAATTATATAGTTTCAATAATAAGAACAATAAAACACTTAAAATGATTAACCTTTTAGCTACGCCGGTCTACACTGCGTGGTGATCAAAGGGTACAGTAAATCAGCGGGCTACCAGCCTGGAGTACGTTTCGAAGACAATCGTTTCCGTAACTCTTGGAACGCGGTTTACGTGGCCGGGGCTTGGCGCTTTGTACAATGCAACTGGGGAGCGAGACATCTTGTTAACGCTAAAGACGCTCCTAAACCAGGGAACAGAGGAAAGAGCGATAGCTTGAGGTAGGAACTATGATAGTTGATGACGATTTAGCATACTACTGTCATTTACGTAATTAAAAATAAACTTTATATATATTGGCTCAAAATAGAAAATACATTGACAATAATTAAAAAAACACATTTTTATTTTACAGTTACAGCTATTTTCATCTTCCTTTTTGTATATACACATACCGAAATGTTTTCTGTAACAAGTTTTAAGTCTTGAAAATACTATACAGCTTTTTGAAGGTCTTTTATATTCAATCATTCTTTGTAGGTATGAATACGATGATCATTATTTCCTGACGGATCCTCGCGAGTTCATCTACGAGTTTTACCCTCTACAGCCAGACTGGCAGTTACTGAAGACGCCGATCACTTTACATGACTTCGAGGAGTTACCCTTCGTGAGGTCGCTGTTCTTTAGATACGGATTGTACTTCAGTGATCCGAACACAAAAGCGGTTATGTTCACCGACTCTACTGGTGAGTATTTTAAAGACAAGACGTGTATGATATGACCAAAGAATTTATAAACGTAAGAGTAATGTATACGAATATAAGATTAGTATATTAAATGGATGGACCCGACACCCGTACGGTGAATCCATTGATTGCTAAGAGGTTTCGTCTCTTGCATTCATGTAATTTGTTTTAAAATATAAATAAAATTGTCCGAATTGCTACTCGTTATCCGTCATTACACTTTCTGACTTTTTATTTCATCGTAATTTAACATGACACGTAATACTGTTTCGTTTTATGAGTTATATTGTTAAGAAAAACTTTGTTACTTTTAAGACGACTTATCGAAAAACATTATTACACTGATACATTACGTAAATTAGGCAAAGGAATTAATTAGTTATAATTTTAACCTTTAAAAGACATTACAGTTTTTAAAAGTTACATAATTATTTTACTATATATTTTTATTATTATTGTTTATTAAGGTGCGGCGACTATGCGTATAGCCATGCCGGCACACATGCAGAGCTCCTTGATCTTCCACTACAACCTTAAGTTCTACGACACCGAGGGCGACGGCTTTGACGGAGTCAGTCTTAAGCGGTTTGTTATGCAGGTAAAAACTAGAGATTCATAAATATATAGCAACCGATTAGTGACGTTGGTTACATTTTAAAAGCAGAATAAATATAGTATGTTTTATATTGAAGAATTATTTTTTAGTTATTTTGGATTTTTTCAAATTATTTTAATTTTTTTCGATCGGATGAAAAGTTTCCTATATCCCTTTTCTGCATCTAATCTGTCTCTTTACAAATTTTCAGACAAACCCGTACAGCCGTTCTCGAGTTATAATTAATAGTGTAATTAATACAACTTATTTTAAATATGTATAAAGGTTACGAAGTAATACTAAATCCAACTTTATGGTCTATAATATTTGTCACTTTTTACACGAGGATGACCTTCAATGACTGTAACTAATATTTATTTATATTTCAGTCTGTGGTCGGTAATGTTGTATCGTTCCGTGTACACGCGCCCTGCTCCGGGGCCTTTCTGCTCGACATTTTCGCGAACGCCGTCACACCCAGAGAATACCTTACCGGCGAGCCCATGAAATTCAAGAGCGTTTGCAAATTTAAGGTATTATGGTTCTTATTTGATCGAATCTATACTAATATTATAAAGCTGAAGAGTTTGTTTGTTTGTTTGTTTGTTTGAAAGCGCTAATCTCCGAAACTACTGGTTCGAATTGAATAATTCTTTTTGTGTTGGATAGTCCAGTTATCGAGGAAGGCTGTAGGCTATATAACATCACGCTACGACTAATAGGAGCAAAGATATAGTGGTAAATGTGTATAAAATGGGAGAAATTATTTCATCTTTGAAGCCTTCCGTTGCGTGCGCCGTGAAAACGGTTCAAGATACACAAAAAATATGTATTAAAGAATAATAGCTCTTTTAATGATCTAAAAACAATCCGCGACAGTATATGTCTATCTTTTAAGATTAACTCACAAAAACCGTTTTTATTTTACCTAATTTGGTCGAAATAATTTGTTTAAGTTGTATCAACATAATAATATTAATCTTTATTCAAATAAACAAATAAATATGTTGTTGGTTAAGAGTACTTCATTGTGAATAAAATAAAACATAGGTTTTATCCTGAAAATTCTACGGGAACTCGACCATTCCGAAAACCCCGCAAGAACGGGAACTATGTGGGAAGAACCAAAAATCTGCCGGAAGTTACTATTCCACGCGGACGGAGTCGCGGCAAAAGCTAGTTCTAAATATAATTTTAAAAAATCATATCCAATATTTCCACTTTCTTTGATTTAAAATAGATCGTTATTACTTATGTCAAACTATGTCAAGTCAAGTCTAAATTTATATTATAATACAGATTTGCTGCGCTGAGTTACAAACAGTAATGGTGCCACTACCGGACTGTGCTAGTGGTGAGTGGGGACCGACTAAAGCGACCAGGCTCTTCGGCCTCGTCCCCATCACGCACCAGGTAATATAATGCTTTAGATTTTAAATAAAAGCAACTTAAATAAAAATTTAAATTTCAATAAAAGCAACGCCATCTTGTGATTTATTTTACTGTGATTACGGTCGAATGCCGGACTAAATTGTGTAAATATGTTAGTCTATATTCCATCGGTATTTGCAACTAAAATCGGTCATATCCATAGAAATACATTTTTAGCGATCCAGCACATCACTATCTACTATGAATAATAAGCTATTGTGATTTTTGGAGCGGAATTAATAATGCCGTATACTTCTTTTTAAGAAATTAAAACAAAAAATGAAAACCTTTTTGATGTACAACATTCTTGTTTTTGTTGCAGGAAGCACTTGTATTCGCGGGCAGAGAACTAGAGATTCAGTTCCGTATGTCGCGCCCTCTAGCGGACTTTATGGCGACTTTACATAAAAATGGCATCGATGAGAAACGGCTGTCTAAATACGTGCAACAAAACGTCTCGGACGATATCGTCAGCTTTTACATAACATTCCCAGAGGAAGGTAAATCGTTTAACTATTTACATATTTAAATGAAACTAATGTTTTTCGGATATACTATGCGACTTTATTTTTGTAAAAAAACTACATACTCTCGACGTTTCGACTACTTTTCAGCAACCATGATCACGGGCAGACGAGATGTGTAGATGTAGTATATCCGAAAAACATTACTTTCATTTAAACGAATAAAACTCGCGAAAATCTTAGATATTATTAAGTTTAAGTATTTATCATCATAGAATTACATATTTACCATATCCTTATATTTTAAATTAAAGCACAAAGTCTGCTTGTAGTATTTTTAAGTTTCTATAATGTCAAAACAATGTCATTTACATTTCAAGGTCAATACGGTTTGGACATATACACTCGCGAGCGAGGTGGACCCACGGCTATACACAACGGATCAAGCGAAAAAGAAAAACACCTCCTTACACACTGCTGCAAATATCTCATCAATAGCAGTAAAAGGAACTAAATTAAAAAAATATCACTATATAAGATATATTTTGTAACTTATAAAATTCATACGAACCTTTTAAAACATTTCTTTGTCTTGGATTCTAATGGCTCTAAATACGGAAATACCATCTATACTGAAAAAAAATAGCAATAGATTTAACGTTGGATAAAGACATCTATTGCTAAAATTTTTAATTATTAGAACTATATCCAAATGTAGGTAGGTTATAGGAAAATAAAACACCGAATACATTTTATACAGATCCTTGTCAAATTTATTAACTCTAGGTTGTGCCGGGCAATTCAATTGCTAACATACAATTAATATAAAAATATATAATAATAGTTCATATATACTTTATAAGGAGTTTAGAATAATGTTTTTTACTTAAAAATAATAGATTTTAAAAAATAACACTACATTATTAATATTAAGTGCAATAATTATATAATGTATTTTTTATATATATTTTACATAGAACATTCTGGAAAATCAAGACACAAGAAAGTTTAAAAGAAATAATGAGCAGAATCTCAGACCCACAAGTTAAGACTGACAAAAATTATCGAAAATTAATTACTAAACATAATAAAATCGAATTAAATAAATGAAATGTACATAAAACGATAATTTCATACAAAAATAATAAAAATCCATGACAATATATTAAATAGCTTTCACCAATGAATTCTTGTAGATTCAAACTAAAGTATTTATATAAAAAACAAAACATTATCTGCTACGGAATGTCACCATTACTATAACTTGCTCCACTTACGCTTAACCAAACATAAATTAACATTAAGATCGTACGTAATTTATAATTATATTTAATATACACACTATGTAAATTTTATATATAATATATGGCATGTTATTTTTCTAAAGTCTCTCATTTAAACCTATCAGATCCATATAAATTGAGCACCAAATACATAGGGACGGAAAATTGTATATAAACTACTTGAAAACATTCTGAACTTTTTCACTGTCGATAGTGAGTTATAAAACTACCATATTAAATCTACCCCCGTCATATATTTTTATCTTTAAGTAACTTATGCAGCCTTAGCATAAATAAAGTATATTTAAGTAAAATTACAACCTTTCGCTAACTTATACTTGATTTAAGTAGTTGTTTTTGTGTTAAAATTATTATGATCTCACTCTTCAATCAATTCTAAGTAAGCAATTCATTTTCAAATCAACTTCAAATATATGTACACGTATAGTTTAATATATTATCAATCGAACCTGCGACTAACGGTGGTTTAACTATTAAACTTAATGAGTATGTCAAGTAGCCGTTAAATTAAATTATAGTTAAACTAGAGTTTTATTAGCCTTAAGTGTAGCTCGTTGTTCGACCCCACGTATAAGTGTTCCGAGTAATCCTTCTAGTTCGTGCGCTGTTTTCTTTAGTTGTGCGTTGTCGAAACAGGAACCTGAAAAAATATAAATATATATTGTAATATAATAAATATTATGATGTACACACTTTATAGAAATATGCTTTGTCGACTAATGATACACAATTTGTAATGAATCATGTGATGAAGATATGAGGTACCTAGATAAATTTAACAAAATCAGGGGCTTTTGAAATGAGTGCAATACATGTATGTATAATGTAAGAAAAATTAATTATAGAGATATTTTCAAAAGTGAACAATTTAAAATTTTAACAACATTATGTAAATTTTAACATTGCATTTAACTTGACACTTTTGTTTTATACAGTTATCAAGTTTGTATTTCGACGGAATCAGACAAATTCCTAACACCGTATTTCTTTTATTGTTTGTTTGCTTGTTTGGTCTCATCTAACGGCTGAACCCATTTCGACAAAACTTACAAGGCAGATATTTGATATAATAGAGAGTAACTAGGGCTGCTATTATTTAGAAATACTATTATGTAACATAGTAGTCAAAGGGATAGTTGGTTATACATTTAAAGTCAGTGGTTGCCTAGCGGTTAAAAGGCCCGCATCTCTAGCTCGAGGGCGCGGGTTCGATCCTGGCCCGGGCAAGTACCAATGTGATTTTTCAGAATTATATGTACTATCTAAAAAATATTTAGACATCACTGTTTAATGTTGATTCCCTAAAGAGGGGGTTGATGTCAGATAGCCAAAACTATTCACAACATGTAAGGCAGACCCTGACTATAGCTGGGAAATTGCCAGGTAGAAGAAGAAGAAGACATTAAACCATACCATCTACAGTGAATGTTTGTGTGACTATTTCCTGCAGCCTGTCTAGAACAGAATCAATGTCTGCGCTGAGTTCCCTCACTCTTTCTGTACCCTTCTGTACTGAGCGCGCGTCACACAAGTACCGTTGTTCTGTGCGAGATATACTATCCACACGACTAGGCTGACTATCTGAAATATCAATTATAACTTATAAATTACTTAATTCATTCATGCTCACTTAAATTCATTTAAATGTATTATATGTTCTTTATAGAGGAAAATTTTATTTATAATAAAAGCTATAATTTGATTTAAACAATTCGAAAACAAAGCTTAACATGAATGTCGTTACATCAGCAAATAGTACTTATTTTCTTTGAATTGAATCAATACGCCACTAGTACTAAAACTTTTTAAAGATATATTTTTTCTATTAAATGTGAAAATATGCTAATAATCATAACTCACCATAGTACCAATTGCTTATATCATTCATAGACACAGTTGAAACACTATCAGATGTATGACCGACTATGGGTTTCCAGAAATCTCCAGACATAGTAAGTAACTCCTGACTGTGATTTTTTGAGGTTGCCAATAAATTCTCCGAATCCATACTGAGAACTTTTGTCTGCTCTAAATTTTTGGGTACCTTCGACTGTTTCTCGGCAACTGGGATCGGACTGAAAATTTCGAAAGCTCTAGGCCATACATCTTTTTCTACAACTAACTCATTTGACAAATCTGGATTCGCTATGTTATCCTGGAAATAAAATTATCTTATCTATATATATAAAAGAGATTTCCACCTATATACTGACTCATCACATCTCTGGAACCATAAGGCGTAGCGACTTGAAATTCGGTAGGATTATTCCTTTCGCCAAGTAGAGGTCAGCTAAGAACGGATTTTACGAAATTCCACGCACAAGGGGGGTTGCGCGGGCGTTAACAATAGAAAATACGCTTTCACGCCTAAACCACTGAACTGATTTTAATGAAATTTGGTACAGATATACAGTTGACCCAGAGAAAAAACAGGATAGTTTTTATCCCAGACTTTTGAAAGGTTCTCTTGGAAACGTGATATAACAGAACTCCACACGAGAAGCTGCGGCGGGAAAGCTAGTTGATAAACAAATTAGTGGTGTTGAGTATAGTTTTGGTCAAATTCCTTACCTTTAAACTTTTCAACCTGTTAATCTGTTTTGATATTTGACTGTAGTGTGCATCAACCCTTTCTTTCAGTTCATTATTTGTATCCTTCCCTCCATCTTGCAATTGCCCTGATAGTTCCATTAAGGCTCTGAAAATTATTTAAAATTTTATATTTTCGTAAATCAGTCTACTTTATTGATATTTTTTGGACACAAGGTTTTAGTTATCCCTACTAATATTATAAATGCGAAAGTAACTCTGTCTGTCTGTTATGCTTTCACGCCTAAACCACTGACCTTATTTTAATGAAATTTGGTACAGAGGTAGAGTAGACCTTGAGTAAGAACATAGGATAGTTTTTATCACAGATTTTTGAAAGGTTCTCTTGGAAACGTGATATAACCGAACTCCACGCGGGCGAAGCGTGGGCGGAAAGCTAGTAATTCGTGATTTTAACTTACTTATTTTGATTTTCCAACTGTGTTATAATATCTTGCAGTGTGACCACGGGATTGTTAGCCTTATTCCCGGAAGCTTTTCCCACAGTTGAAGTAAACATACTCGGTGTTACTTCCCTCGTTTTAGTTGATTGGCTTGTTAATACATCATTTCTGTCTTTACCTCTCCTACTTGGCTTCTTCTTTTTAGTTCCCATACATAAAAATAATCTTTCCATATCTTCAACAAATTTGCTCATACCTTCAATGAAACCTAAGTGTTCTGGTGGCTTGATCTAAAAAATATATCATTCAATAAAACTTTATCTTCTTTAGTGATTTCTAAGTATGTAATTTTAAAATACCTCCCCATCAATGATTTCATGTATTGAATGAGTTTTCTTATGTCCGGACACAACTGTCAAATCTTTGCCATAAAGATAACACTTCTCACAGAAGTATATGTTATTGCATTTCGAACACTTGAATTTTAATACCTGGAACGAAAAAATGTTTTTTGGAATCTCTTTAATTTACCTTAATAATATGACACTATAGGAATTTTAGGTGCAATGGTCCACAGAAAAATATTAATAAAATATTTGCAAGAATTAAGTAAACCCAAAGTATTGAGCATGTAACTATTAATTGGTAAAATTTCATGACAATTATGAAAAAACATGAACAAAATTATTGAATTCAGTAATTTTTTGTAAGAGAGTATTAAAAATAATGCAAATTAAATTAAAAAAAAATAAAAAAATAAAGCTTACCAAGTCTTTTCCACATAATGAAGGCATAGAATACATGATAAAAAATTACATGTAAGTATATAATAAAAAAATATTTTAAGAAAAATTCTATATCTTACATTAAGAAAAATATTGTCATTAAATGCAAAAAGGATTAATTATAAATTTCAGTAGGAATTAATACCTAATTTAACATTAACAATACAGAAATAAAACTTTGTGTAAATCAATACAAGATACTTCACACTGAAGTCATTAATAACTTTATAACATACTCCAAAAAATTTTAAGAAACTATAAAAATGCAAACTTCGAACATATGTAAGATTTGATCCAGGTACACAATTCTTTAGACAAATTACAAAAAATGTCATCTCAAGGAATGACTAGCTACAATCAATGATCAATTACATATATTAAACATATCATCTATATAGATTATTATAACAAAGAACAAGAAAACCTTTGTTTAACTATCATTACTAATGACTTAAATATAGACTTATGCATATATGCATACATATATATGTATATACATAAGATATACCTGTATAAGGGGTTGTGCACAGATAGCACAGACAGCGCTGGCCGTAGCACAGTTCCTGCTGTCCAACACACGCTGCACCACACCCAGCCACCGTGTGCTAGCACAGTGAGTGCCCCACTCAGCTACTGTGTGTGCGCTTATACCAAGCATACCAGCACTCTGGAATTAACAGTCATTTATTATCTGGTTATTATCTGCTTATGTTGCCTTTTCTCAGTTTTAATGGGCTATTAAGCATATTTATGGGATAAAACCAAGGCAATATGGTGTGTGGTTAATTATGTATGTATGTTGTGCAAGATGGTGTGTTTACTTTTTATTCGATTTTAAGTGATTTTTCTTACTGTTACACATGTTTAGGATGGTAATTATTATTATTGTAACAGTAACTGATACGCACATGTAATTTTACATATTGATATTTCTAATAATTCATACAGATATTTAAGAAAATTAAATTTGATAGAACTAATAAAAACAAAACAGTAATACCCAAGAAAACACTCAGCAAACTTCTGTAACTTTTTAAGAATTCACAAATCAATTACTATTAATAGAATAATTAAAATTCAATAACCAGAAATATTTGTAGCAGTAAGAATTTACTTGGGATATTTTGATATAATGTATAAATTATGAAGGTATATAAACATAAAACCAAAAAAAGCAGTCCTAAAAAGTATTAAAATAAAGAATATACTTTTTCAAAGCAGTTATCCACATCATTCTCTAAATAATCACATTGGCAGCCGAGGTATTTAGGTAAAGCTGTGACATGTATCAGTAAGGCAGCAAGTCTCTTCCGAGACACACAGCCATTATGATCAGCACAACAATTTGCTAACGCCAACCATTTCTCCGATATTGAATCCTCACTGAGTAATATTAACAAGGTCTTAGCTGCTAGAACACGGATTGGTGATTTTCTTTCTCTGAAAACAAATTTTTTGGCTTGATTAACATCTATACAAAACTGCAGATTATCATCACGTATCGTAAATTTTTTATACGAATATTTAGGATAATATATATTATAAAATAAATTCTTATTAGAGTCAAAAAATATTGCACTGAGATTACGCACCCATCATAAACATTGAGTAATAAATTAATTAACAGATCCACAGATAAATCCACATCGCCAGTAAACAGTCCTTCTTTTTCGGCTGCAAAATATATATCGGCGAGAACAGCTTCAAGTTCTGCGGTGTCGAGAGAGAGACTACTTTCAGACAAACTTAGCTGGTGACGGGCAAAGACACCAGAACTAATACGTAGCGGTGGAACTAGAAGTATTATTGAGAAAATTTAAGAAAAAGATTTAAAAATATTTAGTAAATATACGTCAATAACTAATTTTTTACCTTTAAGGCTTCTTTGAAGAGCGAATATTTTAAACGCTATCCTATAAGCACTATACTTAATATCATTATACTCGTCCAAGGTTTTCAAGATTTTGTTAAACTGAGGGTGATTATAACTTTGTTTGCCGCTAGCTTCACTATGATTTGAAAAAAAAATGTTGTAGATTAATTAAAGTTTACGTGAATTAGTTTTACTAAGGAAACTTTTATTTCTTACTCAATGTAACAAGGATATCCTGCTTCGTTTTCTACTTTTTTCCACTTTGTAAGTTCCATTATGGATTATACAAGGAATGTCATTTTAGAAAGGTACACCGTACAGTAATAACTTGAAAGAAAAAAATAACCGTCATAATATTATTCAAAATGGATTAAGTTTTCGTCACTGTTTTCAGCCAATAGTATAGTAAATAGTTATGGGGTAAAAGCATATTCTAGATAACAACCAATAAAACGAGAAAAATTAGTCAGTGATTGGTAGAAATATCGGACTTCTGGTTTTAACAGTTACAGATAAAATAAACTTGAATAACATCCAGACATAATATGTAAAAATCATTTTACATTTTCTAGTTCTATTTTAAAGTTATTACTAATAAATAAAATAAATCTATAAAGTAAAACACAAAGTCCAAATCAATGAAGGTAACTTTTTGCATAAAAATACTTAATAATAATAATCTAAAAAGTTCAGGGTGTTAATAATAAATTTAACATTATAATAATATAGTCAAATGTGGTAAAAAAATGATTTTTGGAAAAAAAAAATTTTTCATTAATATTTTAAGTATTGTTAATATTTTTTAAATATAGTTGATGTTGGTTTAAGGCCAGTCCAAAATTTCTTTTATTGTAGTAAGCACGTTCTCGTTTTACATCGTAAATGTCATTTTAAATGTAACCAATAACAATCAAGTATTCTTTGTTTACATCCTTCAACGACAAATGAAAATGATTTATTTGAAACAAATTTTGGCTCTCTTTTCTTGAATGTAAAAGAGACGCCATTTTGCAAGCGTCACTTGGCGGCGTGTCGGGTTTCGGCATTTTTACCTAACTTACCTTAAGGCGAACAATAATACTGTTTTGTTTTTGTGTAATATGTCGTATCAATCTAGTGTAGCGCAGGATTCTCTTTCTGCAGCACAACTAGAAATGGCCGGTAACCCCAATGCTTTGGCTCTGCGTCGGCCATTCGACCCTGTGGCACACGATTTGGAAGCTAGTTTTCGTCTAACAAGATTTGCCGATTTAAAAGGAAGAAGCTGTAAAGTACCTCAAGATGTTTTATCTAAACTCGTTGAATCATTACAACAAGATTACTCCCAACAAGACCAGGATCAATTTATGCATGTTGCGATCCCGCGTATTGGCATCGGCTTGGACTGTTCAGTTACACCGCTAAGACACGGTGGACTGTGCTTGGTGCAAACTACTGACTTCTTTTATCCTTTAGTGGACGATCCATATATGATGGGAAAAATTGCGTGTGCAAACGTTCTTAGCGATTTATATGCTATGGGCGTGACTGAATGTGATAATATGCTGATGCTTCTAGGAGTATCAACTAAGATGACCGAGAAGGAACGTGATGTTGTTATACCTCTTATTATGCGTGGGTTCAAGGATTCAGCGCTAGAGGCTGGTACGTCTGTGACCGGAGGGCAGACTGTCATTAACCCTTGGTGCACTATTGGGGGAGTAGCCACTACTATCTGTCAGCCTAATGAATATATTGTGCCCGACAATGCTGTTATGGGTGATGTCTTAGTTCTCACAAAGCCCCTTGGTACCCAGGTTGCTGTGAATGCTCATCAATGGCTCGATCAGCCCGAACGTTGGAATAGAATAAAATTAGTTGTCTCAGAAGAAGATGTAAGAAAGGCTTATCATCGTGCTATGGACTCTATGAGCCGGCTAAACCGTATCGCAGCTAGACTTATGCACAAATATAATGCCCATGGTTCAACTGATGTCACTGGATTTGGTCTCCTCGGCCACGCTCAGAACCTTGCCTCTCATCAGAAAAATGAAGTTTCATTTGTTATTCACAACTTACCAGTGATAGCCAAAATGGCAGCTGTTGCTAAGGCTTGCGGGAACATGTTCCAACTCTTACAGGGTCATGCACCTGAGACATCGGGAGGACTTCTAATCTGTTTGCCTCGCGAGCAAGCCGCAGCATACTGTAAGGACATTGAGAAGCAAGAGGGATACCAGGCATGGATTATCGGCATTGTTGAAAAGGGAAATCGTACAGCAAGGATTATTGACAAACCTCGAGTTATTGAAGTGCCAGCTAAAGATTAAGCAGTTTGCATAATTAAGACATTATTACACTATAGTTAAAAATTTTAAATTACTGATAAAATCTTAAATTTACAAACAATTTTTAAAGTTATGTATATAACTATCATTTTATTTCAATCTAATAATAACCATGTTGTTATGTGGCAGAGTAACGATCGGGTGGGATTTCTTATTCATTTACAATCTGGAAAAACTAGCAATCTTTTCTAGTGACTCGGTGTATATGTATAAGTAAGATATTACTATTAAATGTAAGAAAAAGATTCCATTAGGTATCCCTAATAAATACAGTGTTGTTTGCAGCTTGTGAATTGATTCTGCAAATTCTGACATAAGTATAATTGACTAGAATAAAAATATTTTTCATTCATATGTAGTTTTATTTGATTCAACCTAATTTTATGAAGATAAATGTAACTTAGTTTGTGAATTGTTTATTTTGCACCTTATAAGTGACAAGTTTATTCCTTAAAAACATATTGAACCCCATTGATGGTAATTTCATAAACTATTTGTGTTTTCACATGATCAATAAAACAAGTATATATGTATATTAAATATATGTATTTATAAGTTTTGTTATATAGATAACCAGTTGCCTGAATTCATCTACAACTTTTTATAATAATCAGAAATCAAGTTATATAAAAACTAGTTATTCATTAGTTTACCTAAACAGATGTACTATTGCAAATTTGAAGAAATGTATGTGCTCATTAATAATAAAAGGTGGTGACAAGATTTACTCAATATTCATAATGATAATACTTCAGTCACTTAATTTAGAATGATTGAAATATTAACTGGCACTTCGAGCCAAAACATCACATAGCTACTCATGTTACATTTATTAAAATTTACAAAACAAATAAATGGAAGAAATTACTAACATTATAATACATACAACTTGCCCCAGTAAGTGCAGTTTGCATTAAAAGTATTGAACACATTTCTACTCAGTAGTATCCAGCAATTAAACTTGCTCCGAGGTGAAATTTAAATTATTAACATGGAATGGCTAACTATGAATAATGATTTAGTCAATCTTACAGATAAGTGATTTGCACAGAATATTCAAGCTAATAAGAGAATCTTATATAGCAAAATAATGTCATAAGTAAATGTTTTGCGTAATCAAATTTAAAAGATAATTAAAGCTCCCAAAAACATAGTACCAGTTTGTTTCAACAATTATTGTATAATTCAATCTAAAAATGTGGCATACAAATGTAATTATAAAATGATCATACACTTTGTAAAGTCTGTAACTCAAGCACAAGGTAAGTGATGTGAGATACATTCATTTTCAGTTGAGAGGAGAGTTGAGACATGGCCTTTTGCGTGGTCTGCTTTCATCACCATTTTGTTCTATATGGCTTTGATCTCTCTTTTTGGGTGATGTGTTGTTCTGGAATTAAATGGAATTTATTTAAGGTTAGAATCATAAAAATATGTTAATGTAATTAGCGTTTATTTGAGGTATTTTTTAATTATAGGTCACCAACATTACCTTTTTCTCCCATTGTTGGTGTAGATATCTTAATAAGATGTTTGTTTTTTCGGTTACAATAACTGTAAGTGTTAAATAGAAACATTTTAAATGTGTAACACATAATTTAACACAGAATATTATGTTTTAAAATATTATAGTTCTTATTGGACTTAATAGAAGCGTATACTCAACTTTGTTCGGAAGGTATGTCTTTGGTGGGCAGATAAATTGAAGGTCTTTTCGAACAGTTTCTTATACCGTGGTCGGTATTAAATAAGGTAAAATTATGCTCGTCGTAAGACGGCAGATCTTTCAAGAATTCCATAACCGACTGCAATAACAAGACAACGTTTAATATAGGTAATGCACGAAAATAATGCACCATCGAAATGTGTTCATTAATACATATTGTATACAAAAATTACAGAAATATTACCATTTTGAAACAACGCTAACGCTTTTCAGGATTGAAATTTCAATGAAAATTACTTTTCTGGAATCATAAACGATAAATAAATCCAAAAATAAAGAAACACGAATGGCTCACAGAGACAAACCAGATGAGAATGACATATGAAAATGTTGCCTTTTTCTTATTATTTACTAATGCTTTGCGTTTATGAATCAAACACCGACTAGATATATAAAATTCCAGGAATATTTAAAATTTACTCCTCTCAATTTTAAAAATTGGTTGTAGATATTTTCCATTTATTAAAAAAGGTGACCAAGTAGTTGGTTTAAAATTTTACCATTGCATTAAAAAAGAAAATTTAAATTTGGAACTGAACGTAAAATTGGAGGTCTTTCTGAAACATTTTATTCTTAAACAGTACTTTCTCTAATTCTATTTAAGATTGAAAAAAATATTTTAGACCATGTATAGTTTAGTCAATTCTAACTTCAGTCGGTTATATAATCCTGGCGGGAAACAAAATGCCTTGAGTAATATTAAAAGATTATTAACATCCAGAGATCCCACTGCCCAAAATAAAGCATGTAATTACCTTATAGAAGTAATTAATAAATATCACATTAACAGTTCCCAGAGAAGACGTATGATCAATTATTTATTAGATAATGATATTACTGTATTTTTGTGTGAAGCAACTTCTAATTTAGACTATTCTCTGTTTCGGTAAGTTCATAGAATAATTCATGTAATAGTGTTATAATCTATATCGAAGTAAATCTGGATGTAATTAAAGAAAATTCTCAGGTCAGTTTTTGATTGTATACGTCTTATTTGGCGGGAAAAACGTTTCTTCGTTGAGGAGCATGCGGCTATCTCAATGGCGGCTGTTGTCCGTGCTCTAACACATTACACTGCCACCGATGCGTTCAGAGCTATTGACACTTGCTTGCATTTTACATGCGACTTATTAAATGGGTCTGTGAAAATCTAAATAACTATATAACTTTAAAATATATGTTAGTAATAACAATTGTGATCAACAGAATTAAAGTTCACGAGACAACTTCACCCCTCTGCCATCAAAGCTCGTACAGTGCCGAACAACTTTTATTTAGTTTTATGAACTTATCTAGTAAAATCAGTAATAAAGAGGGCACTGTTCTGTGCAGTGCTCTAGTACTACATGCCCTTATATCGTATCAACCAGAAAACTTAGACCTAAGAGGAAATGTTATTAGTTCGTTAGTAGATATCTTAGAAAAATGGTTTGATTTACTATTTGGAGTTTTAAATCGCACTGTTCTAGTAGGGGACAGCGGAAATGTAGGCATGCTATTTGTTATATCTTGCCAACTTGGAATAGAATCTATAAAGTAAGTTAATTCTTCTTTACAACGAGATTATTCACTTAAACGGTCTTTTAAATGAATTATTCTTTTGTTATAAGTACTTATTAATATTCTTATTTTAAGAATAAAAAAAATGCTTTCAAAATATATCTCGACTCAAAATGATAAAGATATTAAGAAACTGAAAAAAAACAAACTTTATAAAATATCTATAAATTATTTTAGGCTAGTAACTGTTCTCGAAAAAGGTAAGGAGCCTTTGAATTTAGTCCAAAAAATATTAATTGATCAGCAGGAAATTAATTTGATAGAACAATGTTCTTTAAAAATTAAATGTTGCGTTCAGAAACATATAAACGATATTGTAAATTTCGTGAAGGTGAGTTATAATTATATTTTACCTATTTAAAAAATAGTTTGTATTTTTGTCATTAGGTTTTTATTAGATAACGGTACATTTAAAATAAGAATACCATGTTTATGTTAGTTCAATCTTAATATACTTTTTAGAATTAAGTAAAAAAACATATTTGCTTCTTTCATTATGGCTTAATCATTACTTTTTCATAGCATCTGCCTCAAATTAACAGTAATATTATATTTAATTGTAATTTAGAAAAACAAAGCCAGTAGATTCAACGATTTGGTTTGTCCGAAAATAACTGAAAGTTTGTTTTGTACTATCCAATCATAGGAATATCAAGAAGTCCCAACTAGCGAAGAGTACAGCATATTTTTAAAGTATCTTTTAATTTTTATGAACGAGAACACTAAAACAGATGTATTATATGACTTCTGTGACAATTTACTTTCAAAAGGATATTTAGCAATGTTGCCACAAGCACAAATTAAAAGGTTTATATTTTTCTTTAATCTGAAAACACTAGTAGGTTTAAAAATATAAAAATCGATATTTTTTCCGCAGAAATGACGTAAATGTACGAAAAATTAGCACTCTAGTTTTGGGTGAAATTCTAAAAGTTTTAGCTGAAAAATATTTATACGTAAAAGACAATAGTAACGCCGTGGCGTGTGTTAACGATATTAACGTGAGATATATATTATAAACAAAAATGATTTAAATATTTATGAGAAAATATATATATTTAATAATTTTACAGTTAGGTTTAGTTGAGTTACAATACGGAGTGGAAAAACCTCAAGATATAGGGAGACAGCTACAGAAAAATCAACCTTACAGTATATTGATTTATATATATTTCTACTGTCAATCATCTGACAAGTACATATATATACATTATTATAAAAATTCCATATAACAGTATATATTTATTAACCAAAGTGTACCTTTAATTTAATAACATACTTTCAGTCCAAGCGTCGTTACAGCGCCACTTCTGCCGTATCTCATAGAACATATACTACGGACTTCGCGTAAATCAAAACCACCGGGTTACATTATAAAAGCTTTATGGCTTGTTTTTGCTGTACATATATTTATTAAAACTTAAAAATAGTTAACTGAAACTAATATTTTTCGGATTATACTACGGGTAATTTAGTATAGTAAAAAACTACATATCGACGTTTCGGTTACTTTCCAGCAAACACGATCACGGGCAGAGGAATTGTGATTGTGTTTTTACAATAATAAAGTACTCGTAGTTTCAGTAAATGAATATTCGCTACAGTTTTAGATTTCATTACGTTAAATAATTGTTCTTTCTATAATAAAGGTGGCACTTCACTTTGCGTTGCGTATTCGCGTATTTGTTGTGTTCGGCCAAATAAGACCATGTGTGGCGGATTTATTCGTCTTCATTTGACATATTTGCACAAATAAGACACATACCGAAATAAGCGAAAACGTAATGACGTGTTGTTGGCATGCCAAGTGTGGATGTCATGTTTGCGCTATTTGGTTTACGTACAAATATTTGGACAAATGCAGCGAATACGCTACGCCAAGCGAAGTGCCACCTTAAAGATGATACTAATAAATATAGTAAAATATTGTCGGGTATATATTTAGATGTCAACTATATCAAACGGTACATTAGATTCTCTGGATCAAAGAGTGTACATAGAGAAGGCTTCAGAGCGTCTTTTGTCTTTCTTAAATCCAGAACCAATGATATATTACACACATAACCCAGCCATTTTATTTTGGACTTTCACGTCTCTGAGAATACCTGATAAATTTAAAATAATCGTCGTAAGTACTCTTGTGATTTCTTTGTAATATTGTACTAATAAGATTATTTCGGAACATAATTACATATGTAGTTAAAATTTATTTTCTAGTTATTAATCTATCGATTCCTCACACTGTAAGCTTTAGTGAAATATTTTACTAGCATAAAATTATTCTTTTAAGGTTTATATAAAAAAAAAAGTTTTACAATACATATTTATTTCCATAAAATCTTTGACAGTCATGATTAAATTTTTAGTTCCATATCATTCAAGTTTATTTTGATATTGCAGTTATCTGAATGGTTTAAAACAGAAACTTCATTACCCGAGGATATAGCTAAGGAGACGTTAGTTTGGGAATTAGTTCTGAACGTTATAATTCAAAGTAAGGACAAAACGATATCTGAAAATTGTATGGAAGCGTTAAACACTATTATAGAAGACGGGGACGAGGCTGACAAAGAAGAATTCGCGGCTATAACCTGGGGATTACTACCTGAGGTTTTATCAAAAGCCTCAATAGATTCTCATGATGTACTACTAGGTGAACAAATAATTTCATACAAAAAAAAGATATATATATGTAATATATTTTTTCTTTATTGTATACAATTAAAGAGTTTCTATATATTTCCATACCCAGACACAAATATCACGTATATCCTCGACATAGCTACGTCACACCCGCCGTCTTATATTGAGCAGTCGATTTGTATAAAAGTGGCTGTATTCATCACGACTTTATTCACTAAGTCGATAACAGATATAGATTTCAAAGCTAGGTATGACTATGAGTGCGCCTGTTTGAAACTGTGCTTGATATTACTGGGAATGTCTAAGGAGGAAAGCGATAATAAAGGTATACATACAATTTAATATTATATATATAAATATATATTTATTTAATAGATCAAGCTCTTCAGGTAAGACAGTTGAAAAACTATTTGTTCTAAGAAACATAATCTCTTAATGTTATTGTCATGATTTGTCATCGTATTTTCTCTGTATTGCAAATATTTCTTACTTTTCGTTACCTTTGATACAATTAAATTCTATCAAATATATAAATTTATGAGTAGTTAATTTATAATATATACTTAAATCGCGTTTTTATGTGAATTTCATAAGTTAAAAATGATTAGAGTACGGAGTAGCTAATGACTCCTGCTAATTTGCGAAATGCGATAGAGGAAACCAAAAATTCATCCCATGTACTTAGTCTCACTTTAACTAATTTCAGTTACTTGAAATAGTCCTTGAATAGTCTATTCATTTTCGTATATAGTTATTAATAAATAATAATTTCAGTTCTTCATCTAAATAATATACAACCTTAAATAGTTTCTTGAGTAAAAGAACTATAGTTACTACATAAGGTTCATAATAAATATATTGTTTTTTAATTATTATAGTATCATTAACATATATAAATCGAGAGGGTTTTCTATCTCGAGTATTATCTTCTATCGGGAGCTCGGACGACGGCGTCTCCCACGCGGCCGTAGAACTACTGACTTATATAGTATATAACTTTACTATGAATAAATACCAAGTAAGATATACATATACTAAGTCTAGCTAATATAGTGATTAAGGATTTATAGAGGATATTTACCTTAATTTGAGTGGATTATATTTAGTATTAACAGATAACATTCAAACACATAGAAATATAAAAATGCTTTTAAATTTGTAATGGTTTACAAAATATCTAGAAACAGTTACGATTAGACCTATTTTGTGTGAAAATCCTTTTTCATATATTTATGAATGCCAGCCGAGTTGTTTGAAACGATATTTTGCGTCTGTTTAATATTTTGTAGAATGATAGAGATATAATTTAAATAACAAACTTTGCCTTAACGTTTAAACACAATTTCAATCTTGAATCATAGAAGTAATGTATATATTCACGTATAAATAATTTCTCCACGTTTTCTAATATATATTTTTCAGCCGACTTCAGTTCTAGAAATACAAACAGATGTTATAATAAATTATCTTCGTCAAGACCGTGATAACGAGCGGTCCACGTCTCTACTACAATTAATTTATATGATACTCAATTCTGTTCCCAACACTCCATTGGTTCTGAATTATAATTTCTTTACGAATCCTTCAGAAAATCTTAATTTCTACGGTTTGAGAGCATTAATGTTCAGAGTTCAAATGATGCTGTGCAGTAGGGTTGGTACAAAATTTATAATTTTAATATTTTATTTATAAATACTATTAAATAGATTTTCTTCACAGGACTCTAAAAATCAATCACCAACCGGATGGAAAACTCTTAGCTCGATCTTCAAATACGCCATTTCATATAAAAACGATCCTAAACTAGTGGCAACCCTAACATCTCAGCCGTGGACACACACGCTCATACGATTCCAACTGACACAGAACATTACACAGGAATTCCTTACATTCACACAAAACTGGTTGACACTACTCAAAATAACAATACGAAAAAATAGAGAAATTACCAAATATTACATATCTAAACACAGCCTTATTTATAAAACATTAACGCTGTTGAAGAATAATTTGAACGGCGACGATTTGAAAGAAAATAAAAAAGAGCTTTTAGTTGTTGTCAACGATATTATGGAATACGGTCAAAGTAGAGACTAAATAAAGCATAATTAGAGTTTTTTTATATGAAATCCTTTCCTTCTAGATATCGATCGATAAACATATCGGAAGTTCCATACGGAAGTTATTAATTCCCCAAACCATTGTATAATATGAAAATTCATTAATATGTTTCCTCGTGTTACAACGTTTGTTCGTAACATAATAATTTGTAACACGTAACAAATTAACATTACTTAGGTTTTTTCTCTTTTCGTAAAGTGTAGAAATACTTATTGTCTATTATATATTGAGTTTTAGAATTAATTTAAGGGCAATTGGTTTTTCAAATACTAATTAGCCATAGAGCGAATTTTATCTTAATTATTCATATGAGTCACGCTTAGAGTGTAATGCTCTAATTAAATTAATTAATTTTATTTAATGCTAACTCTATTTTGAAACAGTATCTTAAAAAGTACGAGGTCAAATTTTGCTCGTGTAAATACATTTTTAATTATGAATGCCTTTCAACAATTTCAGATCTTTTAAGCTCAGTATTGCAAGTTAAATATGTAATTAGTAATATATGAATCAGTTAGTCTTATGTCAAAATTTGTAAGAACATTACATTCTTTGCATGAATGTATCATGATGCTTAACCCAAGTTTTTCATTCATAAATTCCATAATACACTATTCAATGAGAAACAGTAAACGCTAAGTTTGTAGTGTGACGATATACCTTGTCCTAAGAACGTCGTTGTCATCAGCCTATCAGAAGCCCACTGCTGAGCAAAGGCCTCTTTCTCACATGGAGAAGGTTTGAGCATTAATCACCACGCTTGCTCAAGACGGGTTGGTGATTTCAAACTTATAATTATGAAACTATAAGTCCAGGTTTCCTCACGATGTTTTCCTTCACCGTATGTCAGTGATGTCTAAATACTCTCAGAAAGTACATATGACTCCGAAAAATCTAAATAATAACTATGACTAAAGAACTTTCTATTTCATTGATTGCCCAAAAATATTCCGGAACCACTTTCCATACATTTTACATTCTAAGGGACGATAGAAATTATAGCATCACGCATCCATATACGAAGGATACTTGTAATGAATAGAAATGAGCCTGAACGATGTATTATATATAATAATTTATTGTATTGACGACGTTTTCTTATTTATTTACATATAAAGTATAGTTGGTTCAGCCTCCCGTACAGTTTCGTAGTTCGCAAGTTTATTCTGTTTTTTTTGTAGGTACCTTAAAGAATATCCAGTTTTTCATGGCATGCTTATACTTTTTATATATACCATATACATATGTATATAAAGAGAGAGATATAGAGACTTAGGTCATTTAAATAGCCCCATATATAAATTTTTTAACATTAATAGTTATTAGATTCTAATGAAATGTTTGTCAAAAATAGAAAATAATACTTTTTCCTACAAATACTACATAAGTAAATGTCTTGCTTTAAAAATACAAAAACAATTAAACTGTATCTGTCTTTACCTATAAAAAATAAAATACCTTAATTGCATTATCACAAATTTAAAGCGTTTACCTAAAAAATAAAAGAAAACTTACGTTAAAAATATCTTCACATATAAAACCTTTTTAGCTTTATTATACTTAATTAAGAACTGAAATCAAAGAAACTTAATAAGTGTGATTGTAAATAATATTAATAAAAGCGTACGTAGTTTCTAAACGTGGACGTGATTCCTTGTTCAAATACCATCAAGCCACCACCACTATGGTGAGTTCACATCCACCGAGCCTCAGACGCCGGCTGGCTACGCGACGGTGAGTGCGCGGGTGTAGTGACAGTTATGATAACGTGTGTACGCAGCTTTATATTGTGATCACTGGAGTAGCCGTCTTAAAATGTTTGGTAAGTTATACATAGTTGAGAATCATTCTTAATAGATAACTGTTTCAAATATAAAAAATGTATTAAATAAAAAATATTTTGGACTTAACATTTATTTACATTTTAATTTCTAAAAATATCTTTCAATCATTTTGTTGTAATTTTTAGAATCAATATTATCATTCTCTGAATAGTTCGTAAAGTTTGTTGTCCCTGCAAAATATATATTTTAAACACTACCGTTATTCAAATAAAATTATTAAACGACTGACAACTTTACAGTTAACACTTTTTTAACCCAAAAGAAGTATAGAAACAAAGTAAGAATAATTATACCTATATCAGAAACTTCAATATAGATCGACATCTTTAGTTAAAGCAAAATATCCGTTAGTAATTATCAGTGCGTCCCGAGATAAGTCTTGATCTAGAACTTACGGCTGTTTACGAGTTTTATATGTTAAGTAAAAACGTTATAATTATATCTACAACAAAGATGTTCTACATAAAATAATTAATTTAAAATGAATAAAATGATTTAATTTTGAAGATAACTTATCTAAGAAGCGAGAAGTGACAGTTTTTATATTACAATAGGTATATATTTATTTCAAATTCAAACAACTTTAAATAGGAAATAAAAAATGATAAGTTTATTTAAATAAGATTATTTCGTCTTTTTCCCGTTTTTCTACTCCAGATACATTAAACATGTTTTATAGAAATGTAACGTATTGCAAATGAGCGAGTTCTTCACTAAGTCAAGTTTTTGCAACGCTTGCAGTTTCTAAATGATTATTTAAGAAAAAATACATTTATATACTAACGATGCAAAATATAATTGTTAGACGGAGGATACTTGGAATTGGGTAGGTTTCTTCTTATAAATTCACATTTGCAAGTGGAATTTAAATGAGTAATTTAATATATATTTTATTTATAAATAAAGTATTCTTACACCATGTTTGCATAGTCTCTATTTTGGAGCGTTGACAATGTTTCATTAATTAATCTACGTATATTATTATCAATCTTTTTATTTTTTCGTGGTTAAATGCTTAATACATATACATACATACATATTCTCTAGCTTGGGGAGGAAAACAAGAAGAGTTATTTTGGACTCTTGTCCTGTAAAGGATGCACTGACGACTAAAATATTCATAGGGCCCGCAACTCGATTCTGCGGTAATCCGTACATTATCAACCTAGTCTAGAAAATGAGAAACAGGAAACTCTTCGTATGCAGTGTGAAACGCAAACTCGTGCTAAGCTTCTGCAGTGGATTAAAAATTAAAAGCCAATATAAGTATCATTTTGTTATTATTAAAGAATATCGCAATATACATGTGAGAATATTTTACTATAAAAACTATTTGTAAGGCTTCTTGAGCAAATCCGTGGGAAGATATTACAAAATCATGTTGTATAAGAATTGATTTATAATTAATTACGAAATACGAAATATTTCATGTCAAATTTATATAATTAGCAAATAAAAAAAAACTATTACATTTGTATGACTTTGTAATTTGATTGCCTTTGGAAAGGTCAAGAAATTTGAAATATTAATTTCACAGTTTAATGGAGAGGTAATAAGTACAGGAAACTCGTAAGAGTAGCTCGAGTGGAACAAGCTCGTGTGCTAGAACTATGTATAAAGGTTATATGTACGGAACTAATTTAGACTGAAATTAGGATAGATTGATTTATTAAATGAAATACACGGAAGAATTTTGCATGTTAATTTCAGGCTTCAATGTGTTCAATAAAAATAATGTGACGATTTTGACATAAAAATTACAGTACACATATAATTGTATATAATTATTTAATTATATATTTGGTATTCAATAATATTTAAGCAGGAGTTAAAACTCGTGTCTAAACAGAGCTTTCCCATCGTGAGAATCTACAACAAAGGCTGAAGTAGCCCCCGAGTTATGTTTTTCCTTTAAATTGTCATTCAAAGTTTTAATTCAATGGTTTTCCGCACTATACAACTTTCTAATCGCATGGGAAAATTGATATCATTAGTTAGGACGATTCAAGTAACCAGATTGTACCTATATATACGTTTATTGTATCATTTACTATACTTATAAATAATATAAATTAAATTACCAATCCTCCTTCTAGTTTCTTTTATTAGACTAGCTTTTAGAATAACCAATTGAGTGTAAGTGCTTTTATTTGATAACGAAGTTAAAGCCATGTTATAACCGTGTTTATTATAAAAAATGATTTTTTTGTTTTAATACGCAAGTGTATAGTAAAACTAAAAACTTTTTGTTAATTCTTTTGTACATACGAATTTAAGTTTAATATGCCATAATCTGAGATAGTCTCAATTTTATATCGATTTTTGTGAGATCCCTACTACTTGATGTCTAGGAATATTTGATCGTTTTTGTAAATTTTGCTGTTCTATGAATCATCACTATGAAAGGATAGAAATAAGTGTCAGTTACATGTTCAAGTTAAGAGTTAGTTAGAGCTGTAATCCTTAAGATCATATATTACATATAAACAAAAAATTTCACGCTCTAGCCAAAAGTAATGTAGTAATCCAAGCTTTTTTCTGGTAATCCGTATAAACACAATAAGCTATAGGTACACTAACTGAATAAGACTGAATGTGCCTTGGCAATTTCATAGCCAGAGCCTTACTTTCGTAATGATTTGCACCAAACAATAGATTAGGAATACTTTATACTGATACTTAACTAGCGCTTCTGCGTTTTCGAATCCGTTTGACATTTTTTTTACAACTTGCACATTGGGAATAAACTTTATCATCATTGTTAACGAGATCTGTAATCTCTATTAAATATTACTTGTGGCTTCCCACATGAAAATCGAAATTTATATTCAATTTAAGAAGATAAAATTGTTATATTTTGTAAGTTTACCTTTTATTATTTTATTTCTTTTTTATATTTTTATTAAAATTTATTTGTTTTGTTTTTACTGCGGCTCGCGCTGGGAGGAATATTAAGCATGATGTATCTACTTGTAATTGTTTGTCACGCCTAGTTTTAAGTTATGTGTATTGTGTATTTTAAGTATGTGATGATGTGTACAAATGTTGGTAGATCAAATTAATAAATAAATGTTAATAATAGGAATGCCATCCCGAATACACATAAAAAAAGATTTAGGCAGAAGACTGCAG